TGTCAGCAGCTGCCTAAACTGTGTTGTCATATTAGATAGCCCCTTGATTCCCCCCAGATCAGAGTTCGAAGGTCTAATTGCTCTGTGTGGAGATGAAGGGGGGGAGGTATGAGGGAACAACAGGCTGTTGGTCTGGAAGTGATTCTGTCTTCTGACTGCTCAGATTCAGAGCAGTCATTGCCAGGTGGAGCCAGTGCAGTCAGGGACCATTCAGACCTTGCTGGAGCGCCTCCAGGGACAGAGGAGCACTGGTGGGAGACATCGGGACGTTGTGTATCCTTTACTGGGGAGATGCCTTTGATAGGTGATGGGACCATGGTAGGTGTAACAGAGGTAGAAGGGTTAGTTAATCCTTCCCTTGTTACAGCTACAGGAGTAAAAGTTTGAGTGATTGCTGCATTTGGCTAACTGTAGGGTTAAAGACTTCATCATCCACAAATTTGAGAAGACATTGGGAAATGATGAGACATTTGGGATGAAAGATGGGTCTCTGCTGGGATTGCATTCATCTGTATGGCAGAGGTGGTCTGATGAAAGGGGAGCAGGCCAGGAAGCTTGTGACTTCAAAGCAGTAACGATCGCTGTATTGATTTCCCTGGAGGGTGAACAATCACTTAACCTCTGTCTGTGTGCTAACTAGCGCCAGTGTGCCTCTGAAGTCCTGGAAACCCAAAGATGACTTCAGCACTTTCAAAAGTACAGGGAGCATTCGGGAACTGCTGAGTGGAGTTACTGAATTGTGTTGCTTGGCCTTAGAGTCCCCTGCTGAGAACTGCATAGAATCGTTTTGGTTGGAAAAGACCTTTAAGATCAGAGTCCAACTGTCCTCCTTTTCTCCATGGATGGGAGGCAAGGCCTGCTCCCAGGTTACTTGTGGAGAAAGAGGGAGCCTGGTGCAGTATTTGTTTATTTCTCAAGCTGTCTGCTTTTGTCTTCCTGTTTTCATTGTGCCACATTGCCTCAGACACGTAGCAGTGATGGAAGTGGCCCCAGCAGTGATTTCCTGTTGGGGTGGGAACTTCCTCCATTGTGGGACGCTGTCATCAGCCATGTGCAGGGTATGTACTGGGTGAAGTGCTTGTTATCTGTGAGGAGAAGCTTTTCCTCGTGCTTTACCCCCAGTGTGATACCACTGCTCTGTGGTGGGAAGCTCAGAGCGCAAGTTGTCCAGGTGGAGACCGTCCAGCCCCATGGAGTTCCTCTCCACTGCCTTTGCTTGTCTGTACAGGGTTGACTGAGGGAAGGTGGACAGGAGGTCTTGTCACATTGATAAAGTGGCTCCTCATTTCTGGGTTTTCCACATATGAAGAAATCTTCAGATCTTGGTTGGTAGGAAGGGTTTTGGATACTGTCAGGAGTGGCAGTGCTGGCTACCTGAATAGGATAGTCATGAACATGGAAAACAAAATCTTCTGGTGAGAAATAAGCTTTGACATCAGTTTTGTCAAGAAAGGACTTTCTTCAGGTTCACCCACACTAGGTGTTTCTCGCACGTGTTGGGGGGGAGCGGGTGTCCATGGCTTGGAGGAGGGTTGGTTTGGTAACAAAACCCAATTATCAACAGTGTGTCAACTGTGGGAGTTCCCGTAGCAGGCTGGAGTTTCAGCCATACCTTCCCCTCAGTTTCCACTCATGCCATCAATGACAGATGTCTGGGAAGCGTGGCAGTGTCCCTCTCGCACATTGGAGACTGAAATGAGAAGATAGGGTGCATGCAGCAAAGGAACGCAGCAAGAATGGAACAGGAGACCCCATCCTGCCTTTTATTCCCAGTGAACAGCAGAGATGGATGAAGGAAGTCCGTTGTAGCTCATTTCCAGAAAAAGGTTTGTTGAAGATCATTTATAAAGCCTGGTTACTGAAATGGCTCCTCGTTTCCTTTTCTTTGTGGGATGAAGCTTCGTTGCTGCTCTTCAGTTACCAAAATACAGACCTGCCTGGTGAAAACGAGGGGTGCGGGTGCCGTGGAAGGGCGGGGGCGGTGGGGGGGCTCAGGCAGGACCCC